TGTGTGTGTGTGTGTGTGTGTGTGTGTGTATGTATATATTCTTATATTTTGATTTTATCTGTATTATGGTTTTACTGGAAAGCACTTTGGTCTTTAAATGTGGTATACAAATAAATTTGATATGTTATGATATGAATTGTTGACAAAGTAACAATGAAAGACTATTCGCCTCACAAATATAAACCTGACGTCACTCTAATTCATTGCTCACCAGTCTAAACAAAACATTCTTCGAGATTCTGGTTTGACTTTCAGAGCTCTTAGTGGACGATCAGTGAGCCTTTACAGCCATCAGCAGGTCCCTGAGGTCATGTGATCAAGAGCTACTTATTGTACATGACAGAAGGTTGAAAACTAAAGGAGACAGAGTTTTGACCACAGTGGTCCCCAGACTCTGAAACTCTCTCCCTCTGAGCCTGAGATCTCAGTCGTGTCTTTCAAGAACCAATAAACTCAGTATTTAGGCATGTGTTTGGAGAACTCTTTTTTATGCTCTGTTATCTTTTGGTGAAGCACTTTTGATCTCTGTCTTGAAAGGTGTTTTATAAATAAACTTTTACTTGAAGTTAGAAGTTAGTAACAACAACTGAACAAAGTTTAAGCCACATGAATAATAAAATGTGGGATGAAGCTCAGTTCACATGAATTAGCCAATCCATGGTGCCCAGTCTTCCAAAAGTCCATACAGAGTCAGGCCTGTCATGTGTGAGAGAGCCTGGACCCTCTTCACTCTGTGTATAGAGGTTTTCCATGTGACATCATCACAGCGAGTCATATGATTGTTGAGATTTTCTCTGTTTTGTTTCTATTATTCTAAGGTCTCTACTTTTTTATACAAAGCAACTTGAGGCAATCTGTTATTTGGATTTGGTGCTGTATAAATAAAACTGAATTGCAGCACTTTTAAAACTCAGAGGACTTTTCACACATCGAAGGAAAAACATCAGCTGTTGCAGTATTTTTTAAAGCAGGTCTAACACTGCAGCATTTAGGAGAAAACAGACTAATAGATTTTTACATTTTGTTTTGGAGTATCTATATATTGTGATCAGCATCACTGATTTCTTCATGAAATTACATTTTTCCATAATTAAATTCTATAAAAATCACAGGATTCTGTTTTTAAGACTTTCATAAACATCATTTCAATTTGTTCACTCAGGATCTGTAAAAATAAGCTGACAAGATATTCATGTCAGATTATTGAGTCTTTTTCAGCATAGAAATAATAATAATGACCTTTTTATGAGCACAGGAATGAATGCAGTCTAAAGGTTTCAGGTTCTTACCCTGACAAGTGTAAAACACCTCCAGGTACTTGTAGGTGCCACTACAGGGGTCTCCAAACCCTGTGTTTGATGCTTCAACAGTACAGTTGTTCTGCCAGTTACACCTGTGAATGCAGGTCAAAGGTGAGTCAGCAGAGGACTGAAATACGCCGTGTCATCTGAGAGAAGATGGAAAGAGAGTCAGCATCTGTACCTGTTAGTTACATATTCTGTACTATTGGGACTCGAACAGAGAACATTTTTGACGTGATCAGAATTTCCATCAGGGCATGTGGTGTTGTCACGGCGACCATAATTCACCCAGGAGACGACTATAACCTGTCCTTCACCTGAGGAAGAGTTCATGAACTGTAACCATGTTTGTAGTTCTATCAAATGAATCCACTAAAGTTACAATAAATGAGAAAAATAAATCTGACCACACTGAAGGTTCGCCTGAGATCCTTCACATGTTACATTGTGGACTGACAAAGAAACGCATCACATTAGAAACTGTAATGATTCATGTACAGATGTGACTGATTGTTAGCTGATAATCACACATGCAACAGACTTGCAGGGACGCAGGTGTAGGTGGTGTCCAGGTAGGTGCAGACGCCGGGATCAGAAGCACTGATGATGTTCATATTTATGTCACACACTTTTCTTCCATCACAGCTGCAGGGACACAGAAAGCAGCTCGTTTTCAGCTTTATTAAAGTGTTTCAGAGCTGCTGCTGTTTTTATTCAAACAGTCATTTGTTATTGAAGATCTTAAACTACCTGTTCTTGATGTCCTGAGTGCCAGTCTGAGAGCAGGCTTGTGTATCTGCACATCTGTACACAGCTGACTGCACAGTGATCACTCCCCTCTCTGTTATACACACACAGTATCAGAGAAAAGGAGAAACGACATGTAGTAAAGCAGGTTTGATGCACTTTGTGTTTTAGACCCAGCAGCTGCAGTCACATCCATAAATGTTAGTCCGACCTCTGTACACCACCACCGTGGATGTTACATCAAACCTTCTCTGATTGGTTGATTTATTTGTCATGTTAAGAGTTCCAGTGAACATCCAAGTACAAACTAAGATGTTTTATGTGCTAAAGTTTGAATGAACTGAGGGAACAGTGTCATGGTCCGGGTGAGTACAGCTGTTTGGCCTCTGAGCTGCTGTCTCCACCTTGGGGTGGAGTTACTGTACAGTGGCGTGTCTCCTCAGCTGTGGGCGACTGAGCTGTCAACATTTATGGACCAGCGCTCACTTCACTCTTCGCCACAAGTTCTGCTTCACCTAGTCAGTGTTGCTTCAGACAATTAACAGGTGATTGTGCAGACTGAGACTCACTGTGTTTTGCCCGTAGCTCACTATCTGGGCCCACGTCCTCATGTTAGGTTTGACAGCGTTTAGTATTGAAAGTTGAATGCTTGGACATTAATTGAGCTGCGGTTTGGGGAAGGCCTGGAAGGGGACTGGCGACGGCTCCCGGGCCGGGCAGATCCCCATGCACTAAATAGGAGTGAATCTGCCCCCTCACCCGGACCTAGTACTCCCTTTGTGTCCGCCCTCCGCCCGGCAACATTCAGTGATGTTTTCCTGGACACTTTCCCCCAGGCCTAGGCACTAAATCCACTCTCCTCCCGTTACAGCGCACTGAGACTCCCGGTGCGTTTCCAGCGTCTCCCCTCTGTGCTCTCGAACAGAGTGTTTTTGTTTTCATGAAGATTTCAATTACGCTGATTCATAGTAGCAGTCAAGTCCTTGTTTCACGTTAGGTTTACATGCTTCGAAGACAACTTTAGTTCATAGTATGTTGCAAATCATATCTTGATGTTTTTGCTTTTCCTTGTTCATGTTTTCGTGGTGTTACGTGGAGTTCTGCATCTGAACCCTCCAGTCAGCTCGGCCGTGACAAACAGGCCTCACCTGGCCATGAAACTGCTGTCAGTCAACTATCTGATTCCTGCTGAGCAAAAGGAGCGACTGTGTATAACAGAGGCAGCAACACGTGCCCACGGGCACCTGAAGGGACCGTGAGAGTCGCCCACAGGGCATGCTCTGAAAATACTGCAGGTTACCATGGAAATAAAAACTGAATTTAAATGTGTGGCTGTACTTTTTTAACCAGTAACATCTGGATTACTAGAGATTTGAATGGTAAAACAGATTTTCTGTGTATGCACTCAGACCTGTCTGAGGTCAAAGTTCAGTATCATGAAGATAAACTGCCTGAGATAAGAAAGCAGGCGCAGCCAGAAGGAGGATCTAGATGCAGTTTTTACCCCGACAGAAAAATGTTCTGTTTTCACAGTGAGTGGGAGGCAGAGCTCTTTGCTACAACGGCTAAAGAAACGTGAGTGTGTCTCACTTGTGGGACGACTGTGGCGACGAGAAAGTGACACAGCGGAGACACACTTCAGTGCATGTCACACAAGCCTCCGTGCCAACTACCCACCTGACACACAAGCAGAAAAAGTCTGTGAGGCAGCTTTGAGCAAACTTGTGAGTTTTTTGAGGGGCAAGAAAACCAACCAACCTCAACATATCAAAAACCAAGGAACCAACTGTGGACTTCAGAAAAGCTCCCAACATGTCTGATGCCACAAACATTAAGGTGGAATATGTGCAACCCTATAAATATCTCGAGACGACTGTTGATTCAAGACTGAACTTTGACATAAATTGTGAAGCTTTGTGGAAAAAGTGTCTCCGTGTTTGTTTTACTTAAGGAAGCTGCCTTAGACTGTTTCTCTAACAGCATTAGAGAAACAGCTTTGTCCAGGCTGCTGCTGTTTATTGACTAATCTGTAGCAACTTGCACACGTTTATCTCTTTTTAGGTATTAATGTTTCAAACACTTTATTATTTAGTAAATGTAATTTTATTAATATAGCCAACAACATTTGCCTCAAAGCACATTATATTGTAAGCTAGACCCAACAACAAAGACCTTATAAGAATAAAAGGCAAACAGAAACCCCAACAATCATAAGCCCCACTACGAGCAAGCACTTTAGTGACAGTGGGAAGGAAAAACGTCCTGTAAACAGGAAGAAGCCCCCAGCAGAACCAGGCTCAGGGAGGGGCGGGGCCATATTCTGTTATCAGTTGGGGGTAAGGAGAGGAAAATCAAGCTGATTGTGCTTTTAGCTCCATTTAGCTTTTTTTTAAACTTATGTAATGAATATAAGCAGGAGGAGAGTTTTAAAATGTGGCTTCAGTAAAGCCTGGAGCTTTTTTTATTGTAAATAATTAAGTATGTCTGGCCCCGGGGCAGACCCACGACGCACTGGAGGGATTATATCTCTCAGCTGGCCTGGGAACACTTTGGTGTCCCCCAGACAAGCTAGCTGGCTGGGGAGGAGGAGGTCTGGGCTTCTCTGCTTAGGCTGCTGGTTATTGGAGACTATTTTCCATCTTACCACAGCTCAGGCGTTGAACACTGAGGCTGCTAAAGGTGATCACTCTTCCTCTGGATATGGCCCTCACAGCAGGAGGAACGGGAAGTTGTGCTCTGATAAAGCCTGAAATCAAAATATTTAAAAACGTAATATGAGGGTAAAGCAATGGAGGGAAATGTAAAAGTAACACAGAGAAGGCCGGCCTTCTTTTTTTCTCAAAAGGTTTGATGATGTAGTGAAAAGGCTATTTGGTTAGCTAACGTAGCTGTTTAACTGCTAACAGGCAGGAACACGCTGTGTGCATTTTTTTAAGTGATTAAAGTCAGTAAAGCATTACAGAAACACAGAAACTGCATTGAGCTGTAAGTTTATTCCAATATGGTCTCTAAGCAGATTCTTACTCTGGATGGCATTACCTCGGCCTCCAGTAACACTGTGAGGAACCTTGGAGTCATTTTTGACCAGGACACGTCCTTCAACGCACATATTGTTAGGATGCCTGGGTCGTTGACCCGGGGTTTTGAGTTTATTATATTATTTATAATTTCTAGTCTTTGGTTTCTTTGAGTTCTGTCTCATGGTTTATGTCTGTCTTCTCTAGTTGCTCTGTCTCCCCTGTCAGCTGTATCCCCTTGTCTAGTTGGCGTCTCTGTGTATCCTTAGTTGCTATATCCCCGTGTCCAGTGTGTCTGCCCTGGTCCCACGTCTCTGTTCCCTCTGTTGCAGTGCGTGCGAGTCTGTGTCTTTAGTTCAGACTGTGTCATGTTTCCTGTTTTATTTTGAAGGTCCTTGTCTGAGGTTAATGTATCTGGTTTTGCTTCCCCTGGTCTCGTTAGGCCTGATTTGCCCCAGCTGTGTTTCCCTCCTGTTACCCATTCCCTGATTGCTCCCTCTGTGTATTTGAGCCTTGTGTTTCTCTGTGTCTGTGTTGTGATCTACTGTTTTTCTAGCTGTGTGTTCTGTCAGTCCTCTGGTGTAAGTTTATTTTGATTTTTTACCCCCTGTTATGTTATATTTGAGTTTAACATTAAAGCTTTTTGAGTTCACATCTGTCTCCGGAGTCTGCACCTTGGGTCCTATTCCTGTCTGCACACAGCCGCTCATAACACATATTAAACAAATATGTAAGACTGCGTTCTTCCATTTGTGCAACATCTCTAAAGTTAGAAATATCCTGTCTCAGAGTGACGCTGAAAAACTAGTTCATGCATTTATTCCTTCCAGGCTGGACGACTGTAATTCATTATTATCAGGAAGTCCAAAAAACTCACTGAAAAGCCTTCAGCTAATCCAAAATGCTGCAGCAAGAGTCCTGACAGGGACTAGAAAGAGAGCAGATTTCTCCTGTTTTGGCTTCCTGTTAAATCCAGAATTCAAAATCCTGCTCGTCACATACAAGGTCTTAAATAATCAGGCCCCATCTTATCTTAATGACCTTGTAGTACCATATCACCCTATTAGAGCACTTCGCTCTCGCTCTGCAGGCCTACTTGTTGTTCCTAGAGTATTTAAAAGTAGAATGGGAGGCAGAGCCTTCAGTTTTCAGGCCCCTCTTCTGTGGAACCAGCTTCCAGTTTGGATTCAGGAGACAGACACTATCTCTACTTTCAAGATTAGGCTTCAAACTTTCCTTTTTGCTAAAGCACATTCACTAAACATTGAACGTTGGATAGATGTTAAGATCTTCTCAATATTTGGTCTGCCGGTCCATCATCGAGTTCAGAGATCTGTACGACGTCTGGACTTAATCTACAATTTGGACGTCCAACCATGACCCAACCTGGACGTCAATATAACGTTTAACATTTGAACTTTGGACTAGGTAATTTTTTTGGACATCATGTCTATGACAGGAGCAGGGAATTTACATGATTAAAAGATGTAATATATTTTTTTTTATTTACAAATAACATTGCTGTTATCAACATGATACACATGAATATAAATATTTTTTTATTTTAAACTTCAACTTTGAAATAAAAAACATTCTTATGTGTTAACCTGTTGATTTATTGAGAACATGTGGGGTTTTTATTTGTTATGTTACATTTTCCGGTTTTCATTTAACTGGTTCTGATTTAGTGCTCACAATGCATTTGGTCCATTATAGGTCATGGATGTGCTGTGTGGCAGGCAGCATGTTGGACCAAAAAGCAGAACTCATAAGCGAAAGGGTTAACTAAAAGAGGCAGCTTTACTCTAGTGGCAAATAACTCACTTCAAATACAAAACTTAACTAGAAAAGAGAAAACAAACCAGGAACCGTGACTAGAAAATGGCTGGAAACACAGAGGGTGTAAGACAACAACAGACAGAGGAAAACACAGGGCTTAAATACACCAGGGAGTAACGAGGGAATGGAAAGAAGGAGGGAAGCACAGCCGGGACTAATCTGAAATAAAGAGATAAAGGAAGCAAAGCAGAACACACTGACATAGGACACAGACTGTCAAAGTAAAACAGGAAGTACGAGGCATCCACAAAGACGCAGACTAGACAGAGACGTGGAAACACGACAGACTCTGGAACAGAGACAACAAGAAACACAGAAACAAAAGTACCAAGATGTGGGACACAGGGAAGAGAGAAAAATAAGACTACACATACAACACACGGAGAACAGAATTAAACGTTCATCAAGAACATGGAGGAGGCACAGAAACAGAAGAGACACCTAGAAACCAGGAACTACACATAATATACAAACAGGAAACCATAATTCAAAGAGTTTAACTTCAACCAAAAACACAAACACGGGGTCACCAGACTCAGTGCCGTGACAATATTAGACTCAATGGGCTTCTGTCAAACTGTAAAAGAACCCACCCACCACTTTAATCACACTCTAGATCTTGTGTTAACATATGGCAGAGAAACTGAACACGTAACAGAGTTTCCTGAAAACCCTCTGCTGTCTGATCATTTCCTGATGACATTTACATTTACACAGCAGTGGAGAGTAGACTTTTTCACAGTAGATGTCTTTCTGAAAGCGCTGTAACTAAGATATAATCCACCCACTGTTATCATCTTCAATGCCCTGTACCAACACAGAGCAGAGCAGCTATCTGAATGCTGCTCCAACAGAGGTCGATCATCTTGTTAATAATATTACGTCTTCACTGTGTACGACTGTAGACACTGTAGCATCTCTCAAAAGAAAACCTCAAATCAGAGGAAGGACTTGACTCCTTGCTGTCGCTCAAACGTGCATCTAGATAACTCGCAAGCTGGAGAGGACATGGCTCCTCTGATATAAAAGATCATCAGCCTGGAAAAGTTGTTTTTGCTTTATAAAAACCTCTCTGGTGGAGAGAAATAAAATCTAGTGATATGTGAAGGTTGTTCAGTAGTTGCACAAGCAGAAGAAGAGCTCAGGTTCAATGATTAGCATGATGGAAGTATAAAGTTAACAGCAAGGCTGAGAAATATAAGAAGCAGTAAAACAGCATTTACCTGAAGTGATGAGTGAACAGGTTGCTGCCAGCACTGAAAGAGACAGAAAGAAAGCTCAGTGTCAGACTGTGTGTTTGATATCAAGTTGAATTCACCTCAAAACATGAAACA